CGCATAGGAAGTACTCTCTTACCTCTACTTGGCCATTCATACCTACTTCCTTGCCTAGACCTGAATTTCAAGACAAAATTCCCTCTAACGGGGGGATGATCTGACAACCCAAAGTTATTCCGTTACATAACCCGTTACCGTTAACGGAATATTCCATTGTATAAAAGTTCCGTTAATTAGAGGTCGTCAATTACATAAAAATTTCTTTTGTTTATATTTAATATGTCGTTAAGTCATGATAAAAGGAAATAAAAACACATAACACACATAGTCCATTTATTCAGAAAAAAGTTAGTTTTTATTATTACGACCACTAAATCGGGTGCGACCAAAAGCCCCGTATGACGGCAGTATCGGGTAGAATTCTACTGAGCTCCAACTCCCACCCATATATAAGGGGGGTTAAACTCCATTTGAGCATTTTCCACCCTCTCTCTCTCTATACTCTCTCTCTAGACTCGTTTTTTATCCGAAACCGCAACCAAACGCTTCCAAATCGTAAGTCCACTTACCCTAGATTGTTCTAAACATTATGACTTGTGATTATACCCCAAAATTCGACCATATAAGCTGTCAAAGAGGAGTTTACGGCCCAGGAACACTCTAGGGCTGTAAACCCCTTAAATGTGGCCAAAATGACCCGAACTTGTCCCACTGAGCCTAGGAACCAATTAAGGAATTTGTCTAGGAGTGTTTAATCATCAAAACATAGGATTTTAGGGCATAAAAGAGAGTTTACGGCCCAAGCACATGATTAGGCCGTAAACACCTCTAAACCTTGTCAAAATGCCCCAAGCACACTCCTAAAACACCCTTAGGCTTAATACATGAATTAGGGGCTTGCTATTTTGGGTTTAGATCATTTAAACACAAGGATTTAAGGGGATAAAAGGAGTTTACGGCCCAAACATGTGTCAAGGCCGTAAACACCCCCAAACATGCCCAAATGATAGTTTTAATTACCCCAAATGGCCTCACACTTCATTATAAATTACTAGGAGGGTATTAAGGGCTTGGAACTTCAATAAACTCAAGGAATGAGAGTTCACGGCCGTAAACTCCCTTAGGGATGGTTCATGGGCCGAAAAATCCCTAATGAAGCCCTTAAAGACCTTAAACTCACTCATGCCTTTTGGATTT